GATGGCCCACCTTTTCTGAGACACATTTTAATAAAGAGCACAGACTATCACAACCCAAGAGTGCACAAGGTGTTCTGAGGTCCTAACTCTGGCACCATGAAACCAGATTCTCTTGTTTGCTAGGGGGAAGAGAGCCAAGCTTGGGGCCTCTGTAACCTGAGGATGATTCAGCCCACAGTCAGGAGGCAGCACCGAAGGGGACAGGGAGGGTAGGAGGGGAGAGCACATGCTAAGGGGTAAGCATGGAGGGTGAAGAAGCCAGGTTTAAAGAGTGATTCATTGGTAAAGGCCTTTGTATTCATGGACTCAGAAAGTGCCCAACAATTTTCTGCTGAATTAAATCTAATTTCATAAAGGAAAGAAAGAAAATACACATTATCAAGACGTACTGTTGTTTAGGACAAACTTTCAAAGGGCAAGATCCTGATAGGTTAGACTAGGTTACAACTGGGAAGAGGCGCGCTTTTCTAGCAGTTACTGTAGGTGGGAGAGAGACCTGTCTGGGTGGATCTGACCAGGGCTTTCTACCTGATGCAGGGACTGATTAGATGATTTGGGGGTGGGGTGGAGAGGTCCTCCACCCTGTTCTCTAGATTCAGACAGCTGGCCATCTAGGTGTTGTTGTGCCCATTCAGAGGCAAGATGCTGCCATCTAGCGGTTCCTCTCATGCTCAGTGATGTGGGCTGCAGACACCAACTTGGTCCCTCAGTACCAATTCCTCAGCCCAAACAGACCCAAATAGTAAAGTCATACAGGAAATGCGATCAATATTAAGTTCTGTGTTGAACTAAAGTGTTTTGAGAAAATTGTAAGAGTAGGCAGTGCATGCTGAAATGCGGGAACCCGGGCTCACCGGCGCTGTCCATGGCCGACGACGCTGCCGAGTGGTGCGGAGGACACGCAGGGAGCCTCCGTGTGCCTTTAGCGCTAATTTGGGTCCACGGCTTGGAACGTTCTGGGACAGAGGTTACAGAACCAAATGCAAATCAATGCTTTAACGCGAGGACTGCTGACAGCAGGAGTTTCCCGTCACTGGGAATATTCAGACAAGCTAGAGATCTGTGTGGAGAAGGCAAAGCAGGCATTTAAACTAGCAGAGCAGTTGGCTGCAAGCATCTCCACAGGCCCTTTTAAAGGCAGGGTCTCACTACTGCATCCTTCTGTGCCAGTATGGAGTGGAGACAGTGGTGTTTGTTGAATGAACAGATACACCGACCTCCAGCTTCCAGAGGAAGAAAACTAACCCACATAAAAGACAAGCAGAGAAAGAACAGCCCGACATTTAGAAAAAGGCCGCACTCAGCTGATGTTACTGTTGAACCTGCACTATCTCACTGAAAACCAGCCCAACCAGTCTCAGCCGAGACTACAGGAAAATGAGGCAAAGCAAGGCCACTTTGTAGTTTTGTCTAAGCACACATGAAAATAAGGTCTGTGGCAGCCATACGACACCCTTTCTCTGAGCCATGGGTGGCCGTGCCTCCCTCCCAATCACACTTCATCTTCAGCTGGTCTCCCTAGAGAAACTTTTAGGCATATCATGGCAGAATCAGCCCTGCTTCCCACAACAGCCAGTCTCACGTGACATCGAGACTCCCCAGGCCTGCCCCAAACCACCACCCCAAGCTGAGTCCTATCCAAAGTTCAAGTTCCCTTTACCGAACACCCCATGGTTCCCAGCAGTGTGTGTGCTTGCTTGCTGCGGTCATGTATCTAACCTGTTTAACTTACAAGAGTTGCTCTTGGCAGTCTGTGGTTGAAAGGCATTAATCAAGCAAATACTGAGAAAGAGGACGCGTGTAACCCCAAGTGCAGCATGAATCCCACATGGACCCTGGCTTTGTGAGGGCCCATCAGGGCCATGAGGAGGGCCTCATGTGGACATGCTGCTCGCACATGCTGAGGCCTGGCCCGGCACGGCTGCCCTCTGAGGTGCCCACACTGCTGCAGATGAGGAAACAGAAGCAGAGAGGTACCCTCCCCATGGCCAGACAGCTGGTGACACAGATCTGGGAGCTCACTTAGCCATGTGACTGCAGAGCTCATTTCTTGACATGCAGGGTTTGGAGGCAGGAGGAACATGAGTGTCCGGGGTTGTCTGAGACCAGCATGAACCTCTCCATCCAGTACGCTTAGTTTACTGCACAGATCTGCACAATCCCTTCCCCTCTCTCAGCACACCCTGCATGCTGGGGACTGGCTCCCCTGAGACTGAGCCTCGGCCAGGTGTGGGGTTTGGAGTCAAGACACCTTGTGGCTTTGACTCTGCCACTCTGAAGTTTCAAGAACTAAAAACAAGTCCCGCCTGCCTTTACGCAAGCTTGCTTTCTTTCATTCTCCCAAAGCCTGATGTGGCACAGATGGGTGTGGCCAGGGCTTAATGTCCTTCAGCTGACACCTGTGAAGCCCCCTCTCCAAGCTGGAACGGCCTTTCCCAGGGGAGCCTGCCCCCCTCCTGTCCCAGCTCTCTGGGTGAACGCCCGCTGGTAGAGCTGTCACTCCCTGCAGGTCACACTGAATCCCCGCCAGACTTCATGACCCGTGACAGCAGAGCTGTGTTTGACTTGTTCATTGCCTGGTACATAGTAACCCAGGGCAGTGAACTGGAGGGGAGCAGAGGACTTAGTATCATGGGGTTCGGGGGTGCCAGGACAGCCCCTTTCCTTCCTGCTCTGAGTCTTTGCTTCTTTCAACGTGATGCATTCTGACCCCTTAGTCTGGACCCACATTTGAGCTTTGCCAGGGTCAGGTCAGATGTTGCCCAGAGGAATCCAGCTGAGCTCTCCCAGGTCTTTTCCTTTGAAGGAGTCTCACTGGTCTTTCACCAATTTCACCTTCCCCCTCTGGTGAGGCATCCAAAGGTCGCAGGATCCGAACTTCCACCAGCTGGCTCCCAGGGCGGTGCTTCATCTCAGAGGACCGTTGTGGGGGAAATGCCTTTGACTGCTGAATCTCTGAATGTTAACCAAACATGGGCTTGTAGCGCCTGTGGCTTCCTCGGGACACCAGAGATATCACAGCAAAGCGAGCCCTTCAGGAAGAGGTACTTCTAGAATGGAACAGAAAACTACAAGGAATGCAATCTGGACTTACAATTAATACTGCAAAAATGATTTGAATTAAACTCTGAACTGTGACTCTTGTAAGCCGGGTTAAAGTCCACATGGGTCGGGGAGTCAGAAGCTGCACACTGTAGAGGTCGCCTGTGTCTCATCAAAAGTCCTGCATGCAGTGAAAAGGGATAAAGTAAGTAAAATCCCTTTGCCAGGGTTTCTAACCAGAAGCAGTTTTCACTGAGCACAGTGGTCTGTGCTTGTACTCGCGGGCACAGGGGACTGAGGCAGGAGCTCCAGACCCCATGTCTTAAGAAATAAAGTAGGCGCGGAAGACGCCGAATCACCCCGCTGCAGACAGGCAGGTCTGCCCAAGCCCGACCGAGGTCCCCAGACACGCGAAACACGCCGAATCAGCCCGCTGCAGACAGGCAGGTCTGTGCACGCCCTACCGAGGTCCCGAGTCGCGCGGAAGACGCCGAATCACCCCACTGCAGACCGGCAGCGACCTGGTTCCACACTACAAAGACGCAGAGGACACCAGACCACCAGACCAAAGTACTGAGTCCTGCTGCTCCCGGCCCAGAGGTAGGGGCTTCTGAGCCACCATCCCACTGCTCCTGGTCCAGAGGAAGGGGCTTCCAGGTCACCATCCCTCTGGCTGCTCCCAGCCCACAGGAAAGGGCTTTTGGGTCACCATCCCTACCGCTGCTCCCAGCCCACAGGAAAGGGCTTTTGGGTCACCATCCCTACCGCTGCTCCCGGGCCCTGTCCCACCTCTCCGAGCTCAGAGGAGGTAATCCGTGCAGGCACTAACAGGCCCCCGCCCCAGTCGAAATGAGAAAACACGTAGATAAGTCTCAAAACCAGACTTCCAGATCACCTACAGCAACCCCAAAGGGAAATGAGATGGGACACTCTGATACTCAACCACCTGGACCCACTGAACTGGCAACAAAAGGGGATCTGGAAAAAATGAAATCAGAAATAATTTCTCAGATAACAGGAGAAATTGTGCCCCTAGTGCAAGACATGATTAATAAATCTAGAGAGGAGCTCAGGAACATGATGGAATCCCAACATAAGAAAGAAATAAACTAATGATTTCTCACATTGCTTTTGTTTTTCCCTTCTTTGCTGTTTTTCATTTCTTTTTTATAAGAATTATAATTTCATTTAGACATTGACTAAGGAAAACAAAATATTTATTTAAAAATGAAACATCCTCCTCTAAGAAAAAAAGCAAGTCTGGAGACTAAAGAGCTGCTAGGGCCACCAGACTGTTTCTGGGATTATCCCTGGCACCTGAGAGGAGAGCGCAACTCCCGAATGGCCTACGGACAAAATGAATGACGATGTCACGCTGCTCAATCAAAGCCCAATTTTATCAGGCCTATCAGTAATTAGCTCAACATTCAGAACACTGAGACGTGATTTACAGAGTGGAAGCCTTGTGTCCACAGGTAATCTTCAATCATCTTGTCCCTTATTTCTCAGTTCTAAACTTAAGAAATGCTCTGACTTCCTTTCTCTACCGATAGCACCTGAAAGATGAAGTGTAGGGTTTACCTGGGTTAGCGGGAATGGGCCCAGCCACACTGGCAGAGCGGGGCTGGAAGGGCCTCAGAGGCTGTGTCCTGAATGAGCAGGCAGACCCAAAGGCGCCCACAGGAGCAAGGCGGCTGCGGAGTCTGGCCTTGCTCGGACTTGGACTTCTCAAAAGCAGGTGGCCAACAATCTTCTCGCAAAGTTATCTGATCAGCTGTTGTTCGTGATGACTCACACCAAGAACCAGACTCCCCCGTGTGGGGGTGGGGTACAGAAGAGTTGACGGGCAACATACTGGACAGTCATTAAACTTGAGCTGCACACTTAGGTTCAAACCACGCGAGGTGGGGATGAGACACAGAAAGCTCAGAAACAAGAATGAGCACATGGCACCAAGACTCACTGCAGAGCTTTAATCACCAAATGTAGAACAACACATTCACAGATTAAAGTGGCTCCAGATTCCTCTTTGTCTTCACCACAGTGGCCTGGAAATGAAATGAAGCACTGAACAAAACTTGCCTGTTCATAACAGTCTTACCTAAGTGTTTTTTAAAAACACATTTATTTTTACTGAGGCTCCCCAAAGGGAAAGAGGAAAGTCACTACCAGCTGCAATTTATTTAACACAGAGTTTTAAAAATCCTTTATCGTTACTCTGGCACGGCTTCTCTTCACTCTTCTCATGCACACCATGTAATGACCAGAGGAAGCCATGCTAAATGGCTGTAATCAGCCTCATTATAAACTGATGACATGTTTCAGCCCAACTTAATCACCAAAGAAAACTGTAACAGCAACAACTTTACACCATTATATTTTAAAACATGTATCAAAAATCAGTTCTTATAAAAAAGAAGTGGTAGTACATTCTCAGACATGAACAATAGCACAGCACTTTCTTCCAACAGTGACTGCAGTGTACCCTACTTACCATGGATCAGCCTGATACACAGGCTCACACTTCACAGGCTGCCTTCCAGTACCAGTCACCCTGAGATAACTTCTGCACATGCCTAAAAAAAACAACTCCCAAATACTCCAACAGTTATTCAAGTGCTGAGGAAGACATGCGTGTAACATTGGGGCGGGGAGATAGCCATGTTAAAAGGGAAAGTACTTCAATATTTTTATGTAAACAACAAATAGAATGAAAAGACTCTGAGTATCTGAATTCCTAGTGTGTCCAGCACTGTGCTTTGCAAGTTAATCTTGAGTTGTGTTGTGCCTCCTCTCTCTAGGGCAGCCCTGCGGCTGTGTCTCCACGACAACTGCTGGATGTTTTTAAGATGTGCTTCTTCTAAATATCCCCAGCACTTCATCTAAACTGGCAATGAATCTGCATATCTGAATTAGGAAATCCTTGTTGCTACTTTGTTTCCAAATTTTGTGCAAGCAATTTCCTGTGTACTATTTACTTTCACTGCAGAATTACACATATTCTGGGGTCTAATGAAAATCTGGTGGTATATGGCACTTAGAGAATTACTATCACTAATTCCATACTATACTCTACTTCTATCATTTCTAGATGCCTCCCTAACTCAAATGGTTGAATAAAGCAATATGGGCATGGATACTTTCTGGAAGTTAAATTGTGTTCACTAAGTTTCTGCTAAAATTGAGTAAGGATACTGGAGAGAGAATTCAGTACTATGAGGAGTTAGAAAAATATTTTCTGAGAAAGGCATGGTACAAGTGTTCTACTTTTCAGAGAGAATCTTGGAAAAATCAATGCTGGAAAGACTCTTTAAATCATCTGGGCAATTCCTCATCCAATACTTCAACTCCTGTACAATATCCTGCCAAACTGTTGTCTAGTCTCTGCTAGAACACTTACAGGTAGTAAGTTGGTGCAACACTGCTTATTTTTCCTTACAGTAGGAGCAACAAAACAGATGGTAAACATAGTTCCATGAATACAACAACGGATTATTCTATCTAACCATTCAGAGTTAGAAGGTGCCTACTGCTACTCAAAAGGATAAACCAGGCCCGGGGATTTAGCTCAGTGGTTCCGGTGCCTGCCTCGCAAGCACAAGGTCCCAAGTTTGATTCCCGGTACCAAAAAAAAAAAAAAAAAAGGATAAACCAGTGTTGTTCTGAACATTCCATGTTTTCTGCAATTATTCAAAATGGGAAAATGTGAATTTTCGAAACCACTGTTGAAAACTGTGAGTGTTGTAGGAGGCAGATGAAAACACTTTAGAAGTAATCACTGTAGGGACTCTAAAACAAAGGGAAAACAAATATTTTAGGCAATAAATAAAGCTTGCACTTGGAAGATGAAATAGATACCTTACACACCGTGTCTTAGTGCAAGAATCAGAGAACCCTGGCCGGGAGAGCAATGGGTGAACCAGTCTACAGCTTCTGTCACACAGGCCACAAAAGAGAATGACAGAACAAGTGTGAGGCTGCAGCCTGAGGTAGTAGGGCAACAGGAAGCAGGGCTCTCTAGACTCTCCTTTGACTTGTTGGACAGCACTGAGAATAAAGTCCTTGTTTCTTATGTCTCTCAAAGGGCCGACTGTTTAAGGGTTTGTATCTCTCCTTCAAAGGCCAACCAGACAATAAGCTGATTGGTAGCCAATAACACCAGAATTCAATTTATAAAAGATCCATTTCTCTAAAGAGGTATGTTTGCCTATATTTTTATTTTCTGAATATATACTGTAGATGAGTAAGTCCATGTGAACTAAAATCATTTATCCCCATCACACGTGTAAAATATAAAGACTGCATAACCATGGTGGTGAGACTCAGCTGATTTGATTTTTAATGCTATCTCTCACCCTTGTGTGTTAAAATGGCAATGGTATTCGTTTTTAATAGTCGATATGAATAACAACAGAAAAATGAAACAGAAAAGCAACCTTATAGTCAGTACGTGTTTTTATGTGGAAGCTACTTTTTTCACATCTGATTCAAAAGTATCAGATAATTAATATTTAGTAGCTAGATGACAGGAGAGCAAATCCTCCTGCAAAAAAGAACAAAACTCTCTTGACCATTGAGAACCGGAGCTGAAATCAATGAAAGTCTATCAAGTACTCAGGATAGATTTGGTTGGCATCAAAAACCACAAAAACCTTTGGATTCCAGGTATCATCCACACAGCTGTCATATAAATTCACATAGCTCCCGTCTTTGGAAGGGGGTCGCATGTATTTGGAGTCTCCATTTATGTAATCTCCGATCAGCACCCGAGCAAGAAACATAGATTTGTACGTTCTAAACAGATGCCGCTGTGGCAGGCTGACACCATGAATCTGGAATGTGTTTCCATGCTTTACGTCATCTTTGCAGAAACGGCTGGAGTAAGAAGCATCTCTAGCAAAATAGGTTCCTTGAACAAAAAGGACCAAAGAGAGCTGAGATTATTCCTAGGAACATATTAAACATAAGCAGAAACATTCTAATTGTCGGGAGAACTGACACATGAAATCATATAACAAAAATGTGAGGACTTTTCCCATCCGCAGACCCTTGAGATTAGAGAAATCTGTCTGCTGGGGACAGCTGTGGTGCAGAATGCCTGCCTGCCAGAGGCATAGATTTGTTGGTATAAACCAGGTCTCCAATATACTTCAGCACCTCCGCCTAACAAGATACCAGACTTCTGTTTCAGAAGGAATCTCCCAGAGAAACCCAGGGCTAAAAGGGCAGGGTCTGAATTTTGTGGTCGTTTTGGTTAAGGGGGGTTGAGGGCCTGGACTTTTACTGTGTGGGCCTCCTTCCCATTTCTTTTTCCTCCACCAGTGTCCTCCCCTCCCCTTGTCCAACATCCAGCGAAGGTCTGGAGAGCACAAGGAAAGCGTCAGCTCACAGATGTGAATTCAAACCCGAAGAAGCCACATTTCCATGATGCAGGCTAACAATCCAGTAATAACCTGGAAATGACAGAGCTTTAGATCCTGGAAAAGATTTACAAGAAAGTGTGACGCTGTCATTAGGGTTGGGATCTTAAGCGTCCCCCGAAGGCCGGCGTGGTAAAGGCTCAGTCCCTGCCCTGAGCGATGGGAGGTGGTGGAAGCTCTCAGATTTGGGGCTCATGACAGGTCTTGGTCACTGGGGATGTGCCCTTGAAGGGTGTGACCTTTACCTTCCTCTCTTCTTCTGCATTTCCCAACTGCCAAGAAGGGAGATCACTCCACTAGGCGCTCCCTGCTGTCATCATCTGCCTTTAACACGGCTCAAAAGCAACAGGGCCAACCGAACAGGACTGAAAACCCTCCTCCCTTTAAGTTGATTCTCTCAGGTATTTTAGTGGCAGCTGACTGACAGATACTCATGCCTGAGCATTCTAGAAGAGTTATTTTCATGGGTCCGCTGCCTACACATGAGAATTCATTAAGCAGTCTCCTCTCTGAAAACAGTAGACAGGAGAGACCGACACTGCTAGGGGAATCCCTGCTCTGACCAATTTTGCAGATGGACTGCAAAGTCCCATCTTCACCCAGTACAGTACGGATGGATTGATGCAAGGACTAGAAGAACAGATGCCCAGCCCTTACCTCTGCCCCTCAGCATTCTCCTTAATTACTTGGGGGGACAAACTAGACAACTTGTACTTTCACAGCACTAGAAATGAGAAGTTCCCCCCGTATTCCTTACTGTCCATTAATAGTCTTACCTGTCATTTTCTTACAGAAAAAGAAAAACAAAACAAAGTAAAAACACCTGCATATACTGTTGTATGTTATATCACCCTCTCTGTTGCCAGCAAGCAGTTTAGTGTACAGGCTCATACACAGAAAGAACTCACATGTGAAAATCAAGTCTAACGCAGATTCACCAGCATGAATGTGCTTCATCTGGTGACTGGGGTTTGGGAAGATCCTTAACCTGGCAGAAGGGCATAAGTCTCACCTGGCTCCTGTGTGTATAAAACTGACTTTCCTGGCTCAGAAACGCTCAGAGTGTGCCTCGAACCTAATACGGCAGCTTTTAACCCTTACCAAGTCTCTGAATTAGAAAACATCCATTACTGCTAAAGAGAGAAAATGCTCTCTCTGGACTCAAGTGAGACCTGGAACTCTGACAGTTACCTTTTCCAAAGACAGCGCCATGTACACCGTTTATTCTCCAGTCGAAGTTATGAATGCAAATTGCTTCCACAAACTCACTGCTGGTACCGTGAAACAGCATCTGCTCATTAATCTGAGGGACGCCTCTTTTTTTCTTGAGCTGAGCCTTTTTCCTAAAAACACAACACACACAGACACAATAGCACACGCAGAAATATACCATATGTGGCACTTATTAATTTTTTAAAAAGCAAAGTTCAACAGAAAGGGTGAGAACAAATACTTCTGTAATATGAGTTGTAAGTGAACAAAGAAATTCTGGAAAAGAAAGAATTTTGGATCCTCTTGGACAACACATGATTCACTTCACCAAAAATTATTAGTCAACACTGAGCAAAAGTTGAAAAGGATACTACAAGGGGCTGGGGATGTATCTCAGGGGCAAAGCACTGGCCCAGTATATGCCCTGCATCGGGTCCCCAGTATGAAGGGAAAAGAAAAGAAAAAGAAAATCTTACCAATAGGTACACATATCCCAGATTATGCCCATAAGGGTAAAAGTAATGGACTGCCTAAGCCAGATAAGCTTTAGGTGCCTACAAAGGAGACTATCAACAATGAAACAGTACAAAGTTCACACAGCCTGTAGACAGTGAATTATTTGGGCTGGACCTACACCTTATTCTTTTCATCTCCAGAGATTACAAAATGTCAGCTGAATTTAACTAAAATTTGAATCTGGAAAACATTAAGTTATCCAGTGTAACACTCTTTTCAGTGGACAAATCTCTTCTACTCATAAAAGGATATTCAATCCTCTGCTGATTATGACAAAAATTGAGAGCCTAAAATTCACAGAAAAATATGTATTTCTGCATAAAAAATTGAAAAGTAATGAACAAGATTTGTGTGCATTACCATAGTAAATCTAGAATATAATGCTAAATGTAGAAAGAATATTTCTTAAAATAATGCTGTGTACTATACAGGTACACATACAGGTAGAAGAAAATTAAAAATATAGACAGGAAGGTATTGTACCAATTTAAAGAGAAAAGGAGTAGAGTAGGGTGGGGGTGGGGCAAACACTTTGCCTGCATCTGTAGTGTTTTATACCTTCAAAAAACATGATGCAAAGATGAAGAAAATGTGACAAGTAGTAAAATGTTAAGTCTGATCAGTAGATAAATGGGTATCTATAAATGTTATATTTTCACTTTGGGAATATTTCATTAAAAAGATGTTAAAAATAAGCCCTTCCCCTTGCATTTCTGAGAGCTAACTGCCGAATGCCTGCTTCAGGCTATTCCAGTGCTGTTATGGCTTGTACCTAGATGTCCTTCCAAAGCCTTCTGTGTTCATAGGTGGAGCTTTTCGGATCATGAAGTGTGTGAATATAGATTAAGGGTGTATGATAACCAAATGGGTTTAGCACAGTTCTGAGGAGCGGAAGTCCCACTGTGGCACCAATCAATAGGCTTGTAGGCTGGGTGGGATATAAAGGGAGTGAGGGAAGGTAGGCTTCACTGCCTACTGTCTGCCCTTGCCAGGCAGCCCTGCCTTGGAGCCAGCTGACTATGAACTCAAACTTCTACAAATTGTGAGCCAAAATAAGCCTTTGCTCCACCTGTGGGTGTCAGGTATTTTATGTCTGGAATGAGGAAATAACTAAGACAGTGCCCAGGACTCGCTGCTGTGCTGGACAGCGAAGTCTGCTTGAGATCGATCAGCTGCACTAGTTAGGAAGTGCACCCACCAGATGCTGAACCCAGATCCACCTCCTTGTTCCTCCTGCTCACTGGCTTTTGTTACTGTCTCTTGGACACAGAGTGACTCAGGACACTCTTACTAAAACAACTTTGTAAATACCCAGAAATACCTCAGAACGTCTCCCAGGCTTTCTCCTCTGGGTTAAGCTTGCCCTGTCCCCAAGCCACGCTCACACGGCAGAGCTCCCAGGCCCCACTCTGCACGGGACTGCTCTCAGTAACAAGAATCTGCTGGACACTGGGCTTGCAACGGTTACAGCTCCGGCACTCTTCAGACCAGGTCTACCCCTTGCCACTCTGTACAACTGATATAGAGGCTGAACGCTGTAGACTTACTGCAGTCAAGCTTCACTGATTTAGAATCAATTATATCAACTTTCTTTTTCAGAACTTTATGTACTGTCTCAACTTTTTTCTTTTAACAAGGCGCAGCTGTCCCTTTCATAACTGAGGGGAAAAAGCTTTAAAAAAATAATTTCAACCTTCCAAGGTCTTTCTGTCCACTGATTCACTAACAAAACAAATAAACTGTCCCTTCTAGTGTTGAATCTTTGGCAGTGGGGATATGCAAGCCTTACTTTATTCAAATATCTGATAAAAATGTTGAAAGACTCAAGAAAAAAGCATGCATGCCATTGAAGTTACTCTTTGCATAAAATCTACTAGTTTTAAGCCAGGCGTAGTGATGCCTGCCTGTAATCCCAGCACTCAGGAGGGTGAGGCAGGAGGATTCCCATGAGTTTGAGGCCAACATGGAATACACAGTGAGTTCAAGGCACTATGAAGCGAGACTCTGTCTCAAAAACAAACAAACAAAACAAAAAAAGACTTCTACTAATTTTTCTGTTTGTAGCATCACCATGCATAGATTGCCTCCATTACAAGATACTTTCTCAACTACTTCATAAGAATCAAGCTAGACTGGCTAAGAGGCTTTCCCACCTACCACCAAGGCAGTCCTATCAGTTAGTTGGGCACGATTGAATCCATACAAGGTTTTTCTCCCTTTTCTGAAGTATACATTTGTTTAATACACACATCCTTGTAAGGCCCATGAGCCAAACGACTAGAATTGGAGAATCAGGACGTGCACTGGTCACTACATTCCAGGCACAGATGAAAATGAATATGGGTTTGAAGAGCTGCTCGAAGTCTGGAGAGTGGGCATCAACAGGTAATGAAGAGCTGCCCAGTTAGGAGACTGGACGGAGCTACGCACCAGTGAGAGGCAGAGCTGGGCGGGGTGGTCAAAGCTGTGCATCCCCCAGCAAGCTTTGTTTTAGTGCCCCAACTAAGGCGCCAGTGACATGTGGACACTCACAGACCATGCCTTTTGTGTTCCAGCAAGGCCAAAGTTGAGTTGCAGGGCCTCTTGAACTTCAGTTAAACCTGCAAGGAAAGACAGGACTGCACTAAATTCTTCACAACCCTGCCCACCTGTGCCCAAACCCACAATTATTTCTAAACTTACTAAAATACTGTGGCGCTCTCTTCTCAATGATGTCTCACAATTACCCACCCTCTTGGGGACCAGAGTGCCAAAGAGAGCAGACTGTACACCACACGCTCTGTACCAGAGCAGACCTTCTGGATCCAAGTGAATTTGCCCAGGTCTAAACCAGCAGTGGTGGTGAACCTACAGCACGTGTGCCACAGCTGTCTGCCTCACTGAAAGCTCGAAAAGGTTCACCATCACTGGACTATGGGCGTCCATCCTGGGTGGACATCAGAAACACCTGTAGACCTTCCCACAGACAAAAAGGCAGACCTCAGAAGCTCTGACTCAGTGGGTCTGGGGGTGGGTGACAGACATCTGTGCTTGCTGAAGAGCTCCACAGGTGACTCTGACATGCAGCCAGACTGAGAGTCTCTGATCAATCTACATCCACATTTTTAATAAACAGCAGCATTCACTTCCCAACCAGGGATCGTGCCAACTCTCTCCCCAATCATCTGCTCTTACACGTGTACTGCACAAGCAAATCACCCCAGATTCCCCATGGTTTCCACCAGAAATGCACATCCTCCACCAGACTCCAGCTAAGCCTCGACACTGAGAAATCCTCCAGTTCCCAAGTCAGCTTTCTCTCCCCATTCCCATAACGGCCACTTCAAGTCTTCCCTTTCCCATTTTCCTTCCTCCTTTCCACGCCTCCCTGACACTTCCTCCTGCATAGGACTTCACTTATTTCACCACGGAAACTGACGGCGGTAGGGAAGAATGCCACAAGCCAGCTCCTGTCCTCCTCCCCAACCTCTACCAGAGCCACATGTGCAGCTGGCCATCCTGTCTACCTCCGAGCTGACCCTGTGTGCCTTCAGGAGTCTCAGTCCACCAATGACCCTTGCCCTCTCTCCTGGCTTGTCAGCTCTTCTTCTGAGAGCTTCCTTCTAATCACAGTGCTTAGGCCTCGCTTATCAAATGCTTTGGAAATCAGTATGGAGATTCTTCAAAAAACAAAAAATAGAAATTTTATTTGACCCACCTATACCTCTCCCAGGTATATTCCCAAAGACTTTACACTATAGTGACACAGGCACACCTATGTTTCTAGCAGCACAATTCACAACAGCTGAGCTCTAGAAACAGCCTACATGCCTATAGGAATGGGTAAAGGAAATGTGTTATATATACACAATGAAATGTTATTCAGCCAGAAGAATTCATGTCATTTAGAGGAAAATGGATAGCTCTTGCACATAATGTTAAGTGAAATAAGGCAGACTCAGTAAAATACTGCATGGTTTCTCTTACATGTGAAACCCAAATATAAGTAAAAGAGTAAAAATAAGACTTTTTGAAGACGGGGAAGGTGTCAGGAAAGGGACAGAGGGAAGAGGACTGTGCTCGCATGACGACTGAATGTCTCCAGTCATCACCAGATGTCCTCTGGTGGGAAAATCACTCCCAAATGAGAACCACTGCTTCAAAACTTTCCCCTCAGAATGGACCAATGAATTAATTTTCTAAAATGCTAATTAGATTCATCATTCTCTTGCTTAAAGTCCTGCAAGGCATGTTGACACATGTACACAAACTCAGCACACAGGAGGCTGAGGCAGGAAGACCTCGAGTTTGAGGCCAGCTTGAACTACAGAGTGAGTCCAAGGTAAGCCTAGACTACATGGTAAGAGGCTGCCTCAAAGCAAGCCAACAAGCAAGCAAGCAAGCAAGGAAGCAAACAAACTATGAATCCGAGTCCCTTAGTTTAGTTTATAAAGGCCTGCATCACTGGCACCCGCTAACTCTCCGACTTCCACTCTGGATTAGTTCAATCCAATCCACCTCAAGCTATGCAGAAAATCACACCACCGCCCTGTGGTGCAACTACAAACCCTCCATGTCCTGCTTCCCAACCACCTTTCCAGCCTCTTCATTCATCTTAAGTTTCTATGCATTTAAAATTCCATTTGCTGGGTCCCTCCGTGTTTCCAAACTTCGGTCTCAGTGCTCCCAGTGCCAAGATGCCTTTTCTCTACCCTCCTGTGTCTAGCTGAAATGACACCTGCCTTTGGAAGTACTTCATGTTCCCAGCCAGGACACACACCCTACTGCAGTGGGCAGGGGTGGACAGATACCCTCCCTTAGTGATGGGCTGCTCACATCTGCATTTCTGGTGGAGTGGCCTGGCTCCTTGTCTAACCTACAGTCCTGTCCACCATCATAGCTCAGATGCCCAGAATACTGCCTGTCAAGAAGCAGGTGGGAGGGAGGGGAGGAAGGCAGGCCTGAGGAATGTGAGCTGACTCTCGATGGACTCACGTGGGCCTGCCTGCCTGTTTGGGGAGTCAGAGTTTACATGGCAGCAACTTCAGTTATTGCGGTTCTCAGGGAGATGCCAGGCTGTCCTTACAATGAGACTTGGCATTCTGCATGGTTGTGGCAGGTGGCAGGTTCATTTACCACCACAGATTTTCACAGGCTGACACTACATGAAATCAGGAAGGGCATCACCAGGGTAGGATTGCTTCCAATGAGAAAACTGGTATAAAATGTTTTAGGGTCCTGTGCCACATTTTTACCATTAGACTTTTACTGAGAACTCAAATTATGAAGGAAACCAATATAAACTTCACTTTAGAGTCCTGACTAAGAATAATAAGTTAGAGCTGAGGATGTAACTCAGTGGTCGAGCTTTTGCCTGGCCATGGGTTTACTCCCCAGCACCTCAAAAGCAGACAAACAACAACAAAAGACAATAAACTTGTCAGCTACAGTGGTGCACACCTGTAACCCCAGTGACTTGGGAGGCTAAGGCAGGAGGAGGACTGCAAGTCTGAGGCCATTCTAGGTAAATTTATTGAGAATTCATCTCAAAAAAAAAGAAAAACGGGGGCGGGGACACAGCCCAGCACTGCCTGGGTACAATTTGCAGGACCTCCAAAATAAGGAATTACACTTTTATCAACTCATTTTAGAAAAATATCTTTTCACTGAGAAAATCAAATCAAATCAAAGTGGGCAGAAGAGGCTTCCAGATTTCTCTGTAAGGGAATCATCCGAACAGAACTGAATAAAACCTTCTAAACCCAGTTATTATAAAAAAGTGACTTGGTTTAGTCTAAAGACACAATAAAAACCACATGCTGAAAGCACCTTATTTTACTAGGAGACTAATGTCTAGAATATACTAAAGTCATATCAGCTAGTCAAAACCATGAAAGAATCCCATGAATCATTAAAAATTGAAATTCAGCCTAATTCTCAAGTATATGAAAAGGAAATGAGTTACAGTCTGAGATTTGCTTTAAAATACTTTAGCAACAACAGTAACAAAAAAGGAAATAGATTATGTGTGGTAAATCTTCATAAATGTTGAATCAGGATTGCGGTATCGTGTTCATTATATTAGACTCTACTTGTGTCTATTTGAAATTTTTCTAAATAAAAAATTAAAAGCTTATAATAAAAATTAGAAATAAAATCTCATCTATAAAAATTAAAAATATCTCAGAGTTATTTTAAGTAATATATGTTATAAAAACACAGCACAACAGGTTAATTTGAAAAATACCTTTATATTTTCTATAATGTTAATTTCTAGGTAAAGTACACACTGGGAAATCTAATGAGTCATTTCCAAACTAAATCTAGTAGTGAATTCAGATTTTACAGCATAAAACTTTAAGGTTAGCGGTAGACTTGAAGGTGTATGTTCCTTAAAATAAAACAAGCCAATGGCCATAGGCAGACAGTGCAATGGTTTCAAAAAGAAATTCAACAGTGTTTCCAGAGGTTTCTGGAAGCCAAACAAAGTGCTGTTGACACAGGTGTGGAGACTCATCCACTTCGGCCAGGGTGCTCAGCTTGCAGTCTTGGAAGGGCAGAATGCTTCTCACACGATCCAGCCTGGATTCACTTTCAGATCTGCTCCCTGCCACCCCCTGAAATGCTGGAGAGGCAGATCGAAAGACGGCCAAAGCAAACACACGCTTACGCCTCTGAAACTAGTACAAAAACACCTGGGCTCAACCATCCCCAAGGCCGTAACAGTCTTAGGGATGGCAGAAGGTTCAGACTAGAAACCTCTTACCTGCAGAAGAACTCCCATAAATCTAAGTTCTGAATTCTTTGAATTCTTTGGATTCGGTTGCGATCCATTGTCTTCCCAAAAAGACTGGCAACTTCATTATATTCATGTGTCTGGCTGTGCAGAGAAACGAGCTGCAGAGAGAAGTTCGTAGGTTCATAGGGGCCCTTCCCTACTTCTCCACAGGACAGCGCTCAGCTCTGCTCTCACCTGATAGGGCACTTCACTCTTCACATTCTCCCAGTGTGGTGGCACGGGTATGGCCTCATTTTCACAGATATAGCTTCAAATAGCAAAGATAAAACACAATATCAGAAGCTGATTATAATTACTGCTGGTTATTTAGCTTTTTTGCCAAAGCTGAATTTTCTTCTTAGGGCATCATGACAAATGCAACCAGGTGTACTCCTCTGTGTTTTCTTTATTTAAAAATATTTATTGAATGTTTCTTGTGTGCTACTTGTTAGGTGCTGAATTGTGGACTTGGATGGAAAATATACAACCATACATTTACCATGAAATTTCAAAAATAGCCTGGAATGGTGGCACATGACTGGACTTCCAGCACTCCAGAAGGCTGAGGCAGGAAGACTGCAAGTTCAAGCCCAGCCTAGGCAATTTAGCAAGACCCTAACACAAAATTAAAAATTAAAAAGGGCTGGGGATGTAGCTCAATGAGAAAGTCCTAGTTTCAATCCCCCATATTTAAAAAAACAAAACAAAACATAACAAACAAAAAAGTGATTAACAAATCCCAAACCTATACAGTGCTTAGCTTATTTGTTTTTCAAACTCATTTTAATTTTTGAAAAAATAAAGTAATGTAGAGCCTTGGGAAGCAGAAGAGCAAGCCCATCTCTGCCAGGCCCCTAACTCTCTGGGTTCTATCACAGACAGTTCCTTTGGCTGCAGCAAAGACTCCAATGAAGAAACAGGAATACAATGGAGAAAGTAGTGCTCTGGAAAGAAATTTCCAGAAACACCCAGGCACTGAAGAAGAGAAATGAAAATCAAGAACCAAGAACAGGCCAGTTCACTCAAACATACAGCAACCAGGAACCCCGGAGCTTTCTTTAAGAATGGGAATTTCTGGAACATGGAGTATACGTGAGAGTGAAGAAGAATCACATCCTGTCACAAGCAATTGGCTGGCATCTCCACCAGAAGAGCTGGAAAAAGCGACTGTGCTGGCTGGTGAGTCTGCAGCATTATACTGGACTATTTGTGAGGCCAACAAGAGGCCAAGGAGTCAACATTTACAGTGTCCTTATGGAAAGGCCCTGCACAAGACTCTGGGAGGCAGATGGAAGGACAGGGACCGCTCAGGTCCTCTCAGGGAAGATGCTGTTGATCTGCTCGACTGTCAGCCCCAGAGCTGTGGCATGCCCGACTTAGGGACAGCCCTTCTTGCCACTCCTGTGATCTCCATGGAGGACCCTTGGATGCTAAGATGGGTACCCTGGAACATGAACCCTCCCTGCGCAACTCCACACCCACTTCCTGACTCTCTCCCAGCAGCCTCTGTCCCCCAGCAGCAGTGGTGAACCTCCTGATCCATATCCTCAATAATGAGAATCAGAAACTCCACCACATTTTGTCTGAAGACAATCGAACAGTGCAATTCCGGAGCTGGGGATGCCTCCCTTTCCCCAGCCAAAGTAGTGAGAATAAAATATGAAATTCAAAGTAATGTAACATATGATCAAAAATGAATAAGTAGAAGCCCAACATGGTGGGTCACTTCTGTAATCCCAGCTGCTCAGGAGGCTGAGGCAGGAATTTTGCAAGTTTCAGGCCAGCCTGGGCAACTTAGTGAGACCTTGTCTTAAAAGAAAATGAAAAGGGCTGAGGAGGCGTAGCTGAGTGGTACAGGACTTCCCTAGCATGAGTGAGGCCCTGGGTTCAATCACCAGCACTACACCAAAAAAGGAGAAGGGTCGGGGATTCAGCTCAGTGGCATCACTCCTGCCTTGCAAGCGCAAGGTCCTGAGTTCCATCCCTGGTGCCAAAAAAAAAAAGGAGAATACATATAAAGCAATATACAGAGACATTTTCCTCACATCCTAGTCCCTGTTCTGTTCAGTCCTCACTTCTGCCCCAACTCCAGGTAATCCCTGTTTTCAGTCTCTTGGATATTCTTTCAGAACCATGGGTTAATAAACACCAAGTTCTTCCCCCGGCAAAAGGAAGCATGAAGCATTCATTTCTGAACCCTTTTTTCACTCCATGTATTCTTACCAAGATCTTTCAACATAAGTACACAGAGAGCACCTGCATTCCCAAAGCCAGCAAGAGAGCCTGGTACCTAGTAGACATTCAATAAATACTGGCTGAACAAATAAATGCATTCTATTTTACAGATGCATAGAACTCCCCTGTATGGATTTGCCATGATTCATTTAACCAGAAGCCTACAGACAACACCTATCTTGTCTTCAACTTTTTGCTTCTCTATTAACAATACTACAAAGAACAAGTTTGTCCATCTGTCATTTCAGAAATCCACTAGTCTGCCTGTCAAACAGTGTCTCTGAAATGAAATTTCTATATCAAGGTATGTATTTATTCAAGATTTTGACAAATACTGCCCAAATGCCATCTTTGAAGGTTACACTCAACATTCTGACAACAAATGTTGAGAATGCCTATTTTCCAACAACTTCTCCCAAAAGTTATTAAACTTCTGAATTTTTGTCAATTTGATAATAAAAGTCTGATATTAATTAATTTGTGTTTCTTTTATTATGAATGTGCTTGCATGCACATTTAAATTCTTTGTCTATCTTGGTCTTAGAAAGTTCTAGAAGAGCTCAAGTACTATAGGAATTGTCCCTTCAACTATAATGAATTAAAATTTTTTCCTAATCTTTTTTCTCACTTTGCTAAAATATATTTTAGCTATAAAAAAAAAACTTAAAAAAAATTTTATGTAGTAGCTCAGCATGGTAGTGCATGCCCATCTGGGAGGCTGAGGCCAGAGGATCAAAAGCTCTAGTCCTATCTGAGCAACTTAGCAGGACCTTGTCTCAAAATTAAAAAGAAACTAAAATACAAAGAGTTGGGATATAGGTTAGTGTGAAGGTCACTATTAAATTCCCAGCACTACACCAAAAAAAAATTCTGCAGTCCATAGCCTTAATTTGCTATTTCTCAACAGAAGCATGCATTGTTTGCCTGGCTGGTGATAAATGCTTATTATGTTCCTGAAATAAATACACATTTCTGTATCAGTACCCATTGACCTTCACCATTCTATTATTCCTACTAACTATTCCTCTGCTTTTATTATTTTCTTGCTTGCTGTCCTCCATTCTGTTTAATTTTCTCCCTCTCCTATTTTTGTTCTATGATTTGTTCAGTCTAGGAGAGAAAAGTGTGCTTGATTCCAACTTGTACTTCTTCCCCACCAAAGGCTTAGCAGATATAACAACACACAATTACAGGAACATGTGTCAGCAGTATCTTTCTTTTTTCCCAGAATATACATTCTCTGAAGATACATAATTCCTTTATTATATTCCTGGTATATGTAGCTATTAAGAAAATATTCTGTATATTCTACAGAAGTATTAGAGCATTCATTGCATAAGTACTTGAACATATTTAAATTTTTATTTTTTTGGTAGCAGGAATCAAACTCAGGACCTGTCTGCTAGCCAGGTAGGTGCTGTGCCACTGAGCTACATCCCTGGCCCTCACTTTAAATTTTGATACTAAAATATAAGCCAAAAATCTTGAGAAACAAACTGATAGAAACTTAAAATATTTAGTTCTTTAATTCTTTCAATGTCTTTCTTTTGGTCTAATCCTTTCAAAAATCTCCTTGGAAGGAGTAAAAGGACCCTGTCCACAATTCACATGCTATTTTTTTTTAAGTTTCATTTAAAAACTATTGAAGAGAAGGAATCTTAGTATTTGCCTGCAGAATAATTCCAGCAAATTGGAGACATGCTCTAAGACTTCTCCCTTCGATTCCATTCCTGTGAATAACAAATACTTATCCTCTTCTGGCATTTACACTTCTTTTTTCAGACCACATCTGTCCAGAGAGGAAAAAGGACCCAGGAGCAGAGAATTGTCCAGCTACCCTGCATGCAGCCATCTTCCTCAAGCTGCCTGTCCCCACAGACTGGAGATGAATTACTTGTAAGTCTGGCCCAGGATCACCGGAGATGCATACAAAGTGGGCAATTATTAAGATTTACAGCCCAAATGATTAGATGATCTGTCAGAGCATTTCCAGCTGAAATTCAAACTTACCTCAGTGCTTTATTTTAAGTGTTTATAGTACAGACTACCAGGCATCTTGTAACTGCCATGCATACTGTTCTAAAGAACTGAGAAATATAAAAATACAAGAAAAAAGGGGGAAAATAGCAGGAAAGGAAATAACAGAATATACTAATTTCCGACTTCATCAACAAATGAGATTTAATATTTAAAAGATCGATTTTAAGATCATTACATGACCTACCAAAGCACTGTCAGCCTGTTGTTCCATTACATGGTGACAAAGAGAAGGGAGAGGAAAAACCCACCCTTTCTGCAGCTTTTCTCGTACAATACCTGAAAGCGGTGATAGAAAAGGGACCCCTTTTTATTGAGCGCTGCTTCCCAGTGGTGAGATTCGTTTGCTTCATTTCTGAATACAAAAACAAAGATATTAGATCAGCCACAGAAATGTACTGGCTATGAGAGTCACGAAGTTAGCGGCCACACTACATGCTCAGGAGTCCACGCGCTCTGCGAGAGAGGGACAAGCAGTGTTCAGGACACCTCACCACCAGCTAGTTTGCACGTGGGGCACAGCGCCAGGGCTCAGTCTGAGCTCATGCAAAGGATGTTAGCTTCAAACAGTGCTCCGTATGCAGGGTCTGCTCGTTTCTGTATCATACTGAGGTCAAACTGACACTAAAATACAAGAGTTTTAACTTAAGAAGGTTAACAGTACTAGAGAGAACGGAAACTAAATCTTGTTATTAAATAGACCAATATTATTTTAATTTCTCCAAAAAATTTGGAAGTGATTAAAAAAGATACATGACCATTATAAAACTTGCACAACTCAAAGAATTTCAAAAATTCATATATTCATGCCTTCTCTTTAAATTGTATACCTAAATCAAAAAAACAGAAAACCAGGCAAGACCCAACACATTCATATTAAAAAAATCTAGTGATAAAAGGCCAATTAATTCCAGTATCACTTTCTCCTTCTTTTACCTATGTCTCACCTCAGCCAAGATTTAGCAGGTCCATTTCTTCATTCCCACAAAAGTAAGCATTATGTGCTCCCGTAAGCATCTGCTTGACATGGCTCCACTCCAGAACACAGGGGCTCCCTGAGGCTCCCCGAGGCCGGTGCTAGTGTCAAGTGTGTTCTGCCCTTTCTGCACTCCCCTCGACCTGGCACACAGGGGCAAGGCCCTCAGCAGATGGCACACAGCCTGCGGTGCCATCTTCTTAACCCACTGCTGTGTGAATTTACTTTTTACCATTCTGACATGAAAACCTGAGCTGGCTAATGGCAGAAGGGGTGGGGCTATCAATCTGGGAAGCAGTATATGTTGAATGCCAATAATTACACTCTAAAACAGTACCGTTATGTAGAGAGTGGGAAAACCTGAATTATTAGTGTTACAGTACTAATGGTGTCTTAGTATGAGTACTGGTTATTACAGCCTCCTATACTGTAATAAAGATTTTTTTTTTTGGTACTGGGACTCGAACGCAGGGCCTCATGCTTGCCAGACAGGTGCTGTGCTGCTGAGCTACAGGCCCGGTTAAAACTGCGTTTCCTAACAGAAAGCTTCCAAAAAGTATAGTGTTCTAGTGAACATTCTCTGTGAAACATGTGGCTCCCTAAATTATCTACCATCACTAAATGCGCTACCAACCTTCACCCCCCTTGTGAAGCCAGAGGCCTGAACCTCTCTCCGCTTCAGGACTGCCTCGTAGCAGCCTCTGTACACAGATGGGAAGGCTCCCGTTGGCCCAGACTCCCACAGAAAACATGTGTCAGGACCCGCACAGGTAGCCTGGTTAGGGCCTACTGTCATGGGAGAGAGTCAGGATTAGTAGGCCCCCAATGGCTTTAACTCTTGATAATAATTTTTTAGAAAGCAAGAACCATTTCAGCAGGACAGCGACTCTAAGACGCTAGGGTGTATCAACTTCTTCCTGGCCAAGCCCCTCACCAGCTCTGGCCAAGGCCCATCCACGGGAGTTTGCTAAGGTTCCCTCCACTATACGACTAGGGTCAGAAAGACACAACTCACAGAAACGGAAGGGAGAGCTGGAGGACAACACATTCATGAAGAAAGCCTCCCCGACCACGTCTCGTTTGCCTCTGGCCAACAGATAACACATGCCTGCTACTTAAACCCTCAGGGGTGAATCCAACAGGCTTCTCATGGACAACTAAATATACACCACTGGGCAAAACCCAAAGTGGGGCTAATTTCCAGATTAGCTGGCTAACCTATCAAGAGCCAATAATATCAGAAAGTGGCAGAAGGAACTGGGTGTGGTGGTGCGTTCCTATAATCCCAGCACTCTTGGAGGTTGAGGCAGGGGGTCACAAGTAGGAGCCTAGCCTGGGAAATTTAGTGAAACCCTGTCTCAAAAAAAGATGAGTGATGTAGCTCAGTGTGGAGGTCACGTTCAATCCCCAATACTGCAAAACAAAACAACCCAATTTGCTAGCAAAAACACCAAGAAAATGGTCACCAGGCTGCACTTTGGGTGTGAAACTATTATCAGTTACTATTAACATTCTCACTTACCATCTGATTGCACTTTAATGTAAAAAGATTCCCAACTGTTTCAAATCTATTTTCAGAATTATGAGATGATGAATAAAACAAGAGCTATGAGCAGGGTGTGGTGACAGGAACCTGTAATCCCAGCTACTTGGGAGGCTGAGGCAGGAGGATTACACGTTTGAGCCCAACATGGGCAACTTATTGAGACCCTGTCTCACACACACACAAAGCTATAAAGTATTTCCTATTTCTTAAAAGATAAGCATTACATGAACTCAAATATGATGCCCTCCACACACATTAATATATATATAAGCATATAAACATGCCTTTATAAAAGATAATGTTGCTCAAGATTTCAAATCTTGAATTTTTAAAGAACTATTTTTGTGTGTAACAAAAAGGATTTACTTCACTGTTTGCAAACATATTGACTAATCCTGACCTTCAGAGCTGCAGACTGTACCATATCGGTATACTAAAAGCACACAACTATTAGGGAAAAACATACCTGCGAAGTCTATCTTGTAGCTGAATTTGGAAGTGGTAAAAGAAATGGAGCCATAAGGGTTTGTTTTGAAGCTTTTCTCGATATCTTCACTGCTGACTGAACACTGGATGTTGGCATCCGGCTTTAAGACAGACCAGAGAGTTTCGTTTACCAGCTGCTCACACGAGTGAGGGGCCACACAAGTGGTGCTGGAGGGGTGAGGAAACTGACTAGCACCTGCTCTAGCGCCCAACACACGCGAGATCAGAGCCAAGGCAGCACACTGGAAGCAGTCTAAAGATTTCCAAGAAAAACAATTGGTTGTGGCTGGTCCCCTTCAACAACTGGTGATAGTGCCTTTTTACAAATTGGTACAATTTTTACAAATTATTCCAATAATTATAATAAGTGGGTAGAATTAAATCTTCTTTAAAAGCTTACTACAGTTAAAAAAAAAGATACAGGTTTCTGAGTATGGGTTCAATTCTCAGCTTAATTCCCTCCTTGACCTTGGACAAATTAACTTTTCTGAGTTTTACTTTCTTCAACAGTGTTAACATCTGGCAGAGTTTGAGGATAAGAGAGAAAATTTGTGCGTGGTACCTAGCATAATACCTGGCATTTAGAAGGTGGTTAATATGGACTTGCTGTTTCCTTTCTCTCTCTTCGGCTACCAGTTCAAAAGTGGAGTTGCTCAAAAGTAAATGTACTGAGCTCACGTAACCATGGCCCTCTCTACACAGTAAACGCACACTGTCTCTTCTAAACAAATCACCGTGAAAACCTGGGGAAAAGTGAAAGAACTGGAAGAATTTCTAACTGTTCTTGTAGTTAAGCTGTTTATTTCCTCAAGTTTTAATTTAAGTCCTACATTCCGACTCCCTTTATACCTCAGCGAGATGATGCTACATGAATTAACCCCTTCTGTTCCATGCACGGGAAGGGTACCTGAAACATGTGCCACTTCCCACACTCCGCCAGGAAGAACCAGCCCCACTGCGTATCTGATGTGTCCATGTCATCCATTCCACCCTCCGTGGTTTTGGACATGAATTCTTCTGTTTTGTGAAACATCTCCTGAAAATCCAGAGAGAAGTGAAGGAAGAAATGATTTTCTTAATAACCAATGTGCTTTTTATGGATCATTATAGTTCTTTATAGAGAGCTCTAGTCCAGTGTCTTTCCCACAGTGACATTCTAAAACTAGCATTCTACCTTGGATATTGGCTCTGAAGATAAACACTTTAAAATGTTGAATATAATTGCTTAACAAATCAGGCAAATAATAATCACTTTAGGTAGTTCATAACAGAGCCCACAGACCCCTTTTTGTAAGCTGCATAAATAGCCATAAGCAGTTCAGGTTTTCAGTATAGCCCAAGAAATTTTTAATCCTAAATTCACGTATTCATTCAAAAAATCTAAGACATCATTACTACTTAAGATCAAATGCATCTGATTTTTGTTTAAATAGTCATTATTTCACTTAATGGCATAGACAGATGTTTCTAATATATGGTATTGGGTACAAAAGGCTATCAAACTTAGAAATAGTAAGATCCAATTTTAATAAAAATGTATCTATACTTATTCATCCGAATGTCCTCTGTATGTGTGTGCTTGTGTATGTGTACATACTCACAGAACACAGAAGTCAGGACATACACCTCAGCTTGCGACAGTGTCCCCAAGTGGTAAGATAATGGCAACAGTAACAAAATAACCACCTAGCCCTTATATGGCTTTTACTATGTGCCAGCCACTGCTGGGAGAACCGTACCGATAACTCGTTTACGTCTAACAACAGCCTATATAAGGTAGGTACTCAGTACGAAGAAGGAAATGGATGCAGAAAGGTTATAAATGGGAAAGGAAAGCCAAGATTCAAACTCAGGTAGTCTGGATTCAAGGTCAGTGCACTAACTACCCTGTTAAAGTGCCCTACAGCTAGCACTAATTTTGTAATGTTAGCTATACCAACTCATTAACTTACGTACACATTACTGCCAAAAAGTCTTTCGTGTTCTTGGACGCATACTGTGACGAAGTCAATAGAAAGGGGACAAAAAGAGGCTGGTCACAGAAGGTTAAACTTTATCTGGAAGCAGGCTTCCTGCCCTCATTCTTTACGGGTTTTTAAATTATTGATTTAAATTTTCACAACTAATATACAAAAATATTCTTCTGAGTGGGACATTTGAGATAAAGCTAAATACTTGTTTGACCATCCTTTCTACTCCTGGCACCTTCTCAACTTCCTTCCCCAAGGCTAACCAGTGATGGCTACCAATGTACTAGGTACCTTTCAGATCTCTCTGTAATTACACTCACACACAAATAAAAATAATTATTGGTAATTTGTTAAAGATTAGATTTCATATATCTCTGATTTTTTAAACAAAGAATACATACCACCACATAAATGGAAGAATATTTGGTTGTAATTTCATTACATGAACTGTCCACTCTGTTTCTAGAATTATGTAACCCTGGTAAGTTTCAGCTACTCTGTCTTCACTGCACACCACGGTTTTCCCTTCACAAAGTGGAAGAGGAAAGGCTACTCTTTCTTTAGGTGGCCGTCAGAGCAATAATGAGACAGTACAGTGAACACCAAGTACAGTACCTGAGCTCAGTGAAGCAGGCTTGTTATCTTTGACTCTTTATTCATATTCTTAAACTCTCTCCAAGGAATGGTTTACAACTGCTTCTTAGTTTTCATTCCTTCATATTTTAAGGTTGATTAGCTGCTAAGAAATGAAAAACAAAACACCCTAGGATCAAGAGCTTCAGAATCAGAATCCACTATTTATTTTATATTTATATTAACCAAAAAATAAATATAATGATTTAACATGCAAGAGCAACTGTCCAGTTAACTATTCAAAATAATTGCTTGTTCCTTTCATTATTGTTCACAGCATTCTGCATTTCTCTGTAAAAGAGAAAGAAATCCAGACTGACCTAAATTTAGTTTTTCTTCTACAAATGACCAGAAAAATTTGGAATGATGAGCTAGAAACTAATAGTTAAATAAATATTTGGATTATGGAGTCTGCCTCCACGGAATGGAAAATAGAGAAGTACCCTTTATATGGTGCACAATGCTGTATGTGTGCTGTGCTGTGACCTGCAATCTCAACGGCAGATTAGGTCACAAGTGAATGTGTTTAAACAAGCTTGCAAGGCAACATGTGCCTGCAGTCCCAGCTACTCAGGAGGCTGAGCTGCAGGGTTGTTTGAGTTCAGGAGCTTGAGACCAGTCTGGGCAACATAGTGAGATGCTGTCAAAAGAAAGAAAAACAGAAGAGAGAGAGAGAGAAAGAGAAAAAGGGGAAAGAAGGACAGAAGGAAGAAAGGAAGGAAAGAAGAAAGAGGGGGGAGGGAGAGGGAGAGGGAGAGGGGAGGGATTAACAAAATCCTTTCAGAACTCCACATCTTAAATAGGTACAACTGGCTAGGCCATACCTACCTTGCATTTATCCCCATTTTAAAGAGGATAGCATTATAAACAGGTACCACCATCATGAAAATTCCTAAAGCACTTTTAATAAACTCATTTGTCACTTTATACTATTTTTCCCTTCACAACTCACTATACAAGAGAGAAGCCATTACTTTCCAGTTAAAGTTGGGAAAACAGCAAAGCACAGAATAATGCAACCATTTTGTCCGAATTAGAGTTACTAGTACAGAGATTACGAGAACAACCCAGGCCTCCTGAGCCTCAGCTCTTCCCTAAGTCACCAGACCCACTGCCTCATTTCACAGGTGGACACTGAGTCCCACCCTCTGTTGCTGAACTGTAATTATTTAGCTTCACAGATGTGCTGGCTTTTTTTCAAAACATTCATAAAGCCTTAATATTTTCTACAGTAAGTCTTCTCTCCAGAGAATACTTTGAATAATTACCCTAAATGAACACTCAGGTTTAAATTAATAAATTTAAGACACTGTAACCATAGAAATAGTGGTTCTAGTCAAACACATGTATGGATAATAAAAGAACATGTGCAAGTTATCAGTCAGGGAGCAAGCACTTAATAAATGTTAGATGAATGAATCAGTTCAGTCACAAGGTCATATTCTGCCCTCATTTCCTGTTTTTAATTGGAAGATAATGACACTTCCTGCACAGGCCATAAAGAAAAAAGGGCCAGTCTAAAGTGGAGAAGAATTTTGTAAATTTTCAAATACAATGGGTGTGCTGGTGGAATCTGTCTATACTGCTTTCTATTCTGAGGAGAATCCGGTGAGAGCCTGGGAACAGTCAATCTGAATCACTGAATTGAAAGTAAGTTTAGAGTCAAAGTCCTGATCTATATACGAAAATAATGCTGCTTTTCAGACTGACTACAAGTTTTCTGTAAGGCTTTTATAACAAAGCATAATTTAGTTTGTATGGATGTCACACCTTGAGGAAATCATACTTGCTAACAAAAATGTTGTTGCCTCTCTATATACAAGGTCCCAAACCTGGTGTTAAAAGCTGCAAAATGGGGTGGAATTCTAAAATGCCAGAGTAAGGAGCTCAGTGGGCCCCATCTTCAGCAAACCTACTTAGCTGGTGAAAATTATTTGTAAAAACGAACATTTAAAGTCTTGAGAAACTGTCCTAAGGTCATAGCCAGTGGAGAAGCAGCTATCCAAGGAAGTCTGCTAACCACTAGACCAGGTGAGTGTCTTACATCTGAGTTATGACAGCGCCATTACCCGCACTGTGCCAGCCCTGGTCACCGAGTGCAGCCAGACCACAGGGCTCCCTCCCATCTCCCTCCAACACTCAGATGCTGGCTGGCTCACTCCGCTGTGCTCCACTCCACAGTGGAGGAACAGGCTGCTGCGTTTCCCACCCCCTTCAATGGAGAGGTGGAGAGCAGTCCCCCTTCCCTTCCCTCCCCAGACCCCACCAAACAGTGCAAAGTCTACTCCAGGTGGGGCAGGCTGGGAATACCATGCCAATTGCCACCAATTATAAGAACTAGTCCCCACGGTCAGTCATGATGTTCCAGCCAAAGAGAAAGGAAGACACACAACCCAGCTAAAGACCTCCCAGCACATTATCTTCCCACTCAATGCCCTCCGCACCTCTTCTCCCTCCCTTCAAAAGCCCTTGGCATACACCTGAGGTCCTTATCATGGTCATTTGGGGGGTCAGTCCCCCATCTTCTTGGGGTGCCAGCCCTTGAATACCCATGGTTTCCTTCCCACCAACTCTTGTCTTTTTTTGAGTACTGGCTTTTGAGCAGTGAGCAGGACTTAAGCAGCTAGTAGATGGATTTAGGTCACTTTAATAGAAATTATTAAAATGAGCCAAATGAAATTCTAGAATTGAAAAGTGTAATAGCCAAAGCGAACAACTCACTACAGAGGCTCAATACTAGATTTAAACAGCAAATTAGGAGATGCATCACTAGTATTATGCAATAGGTATACAGTCACAGGTTACTCAGTCATAGGGGTACACTTCTGAGAAAATGTGTCTCGGGTAATGTTATTACTGTGGGACCACAGACTCACACAAAGTCTAGATGGCATACATCAACCCCTTAACGTGGCCTCAATGCAATACAGATACACCCTAAACATGAGGTGTATGAGATTGCTGCTGCCTAAGACAGCACACTGTTTCACAGTAAACTGAGTTTTATAGACAGGAGAACACTAACGATAAAAGTACAGCATCCAATACCTAAGAGAGCCACAGTCACTTATTACCACTACTGAGCATTACACACCACACACACATAAGTGTGTGTGCTGTACTTTCATATGACTGGCTGCATGAAGCGGATGTGTTCACAACAGCATTACCACAAGCACATGAGCGATGTGTCGTGCTACAACATCACAATGGCCACAACGTCACTGAAGTAACAGGAATTTTTCAGAGCCACTGCAATCTTACAGAACCACCACCACGTGTGTGGTCCACTGTTGGCCGAAACACTATGTGGCACATGACTGATAAGAGAGTCCACCAAAAAATGTATACATCAGGAAAAGAAAAACTTGTATAAATATTTTAATACTAAATTCTTTGATAAATCATGAGATTATACAAGTTACTTTTGGCCTCTGCAATTACAAGAGGTGCTCAGAGTGGTGGCCATTAACTTCCAGACATGTATTAGTACAGTGAACTGCTGAAGTCTATGACTTTTTTTTTTCCTGGAATCTGTATATAGCAGTGAGAAAATAAAAAAGGTAGGGAGGGAATGGAGCCACCGAGGGGCAAAATTCCTGTATTTCACTGAAATTAAGTCAGTACAAATCTGAAGAGCATTCTGCTTTATGAGTTAAGGTGTATACTGAAAGCCCTAGAGCAGTGATGGTGAACCCCTTAGGGCTTTCAATGATACAAATGTGTGCTGTGGCACACATGCCATCAGTTTGCTACCAGTGCCCTAGAGCAACCATTCCGTATATATATCCCAAGTACTAATTTGAAAATTAATAAGCAGAGCTGGTCATGGTGGCACTCGCCTATAATCCCAGCACTCTAGGAGGCTGAGGCAGTTCCCCAGACTGGGCGAGTTGGTGACTTGACAACACCTATCTCAGAAGAACAAAGGGTGGTGGGGGTTGGGGGAGCATCGGTCAGTATTTACTACAGAAACAGACACAACACAAGATATACAAAAATATATGAATTTAGGAGATTAGCTTACAATGGCAACCCACGACCCAGGACATGGAATTGCTGAGACAATTTAGCTGCTTAATGAAACTTCTCAAGTTAACACAATCCAACCATCACAATCCACCCTTGTCAACTTGTCAACCAGACAGATTTCTTTAAACCAGTCTCCAGACACAAAGGTAAGCTCATAATTATGCCTAACATGTTATAACTATCCTGCATACAAATGGAACACACTAATTCCCTCCCCAGAATAGAAGGCAAGTTTTCTTTAGGTGATGCTTACTCTTAACATTTCATAACTTGAACATTATAACATAGGTTTAACAGTCCTTAAAAACCAGTATTAGTGCTATAGGGCCAGGCGAGTTGCAACTATAGAGATGCGTCACACTCTGAATTAAATGGAATCCTTTATTATCATAGCCAGCTGATCCAGAGTGGGTTCAGGCCTCCAACAACTCTGGACAAAGGAAAGGCAGTTTGCAGGGTCCTTTTAAGGGCTCTTCTATTTGTGGAGGGCTCAGGGAGCGTGGCCTGGAAACACAAGCAGAACTTCACAGGAGCAGAACTTTGCTAAGCTAGTGGAGGTAGGGGACGTTTCACATAGTTTAGTTAAAACAAAGTATCACATAGGTGCAGGAGTCTTCTGTTTATAAGGCAGTAAAGATAACATAGTTGCAGACTCACACAAGATGCAGTGATCTGTTTTGTATTAACTGAGGGGACTCCAAGGGGGAACCACCCGGAATCACTGACTTTACATAAATGGAGTCAGGTAGGCTATCACATTAGGAGAGAAATAGCACAATTACAATCCTTGTTTCTGTAGCTGATCACAGGGTTGTAGCCGGTATTTAGAACTACCTTCTTCTACTACCTATTCTTTATTCCTTTGGCCTTCAACAAGTCTTGGTTCTTTCCCTGGTGGAATGACCCATACCTTCATTCCTGATGGCTCTGGACCATTTGTCATTCTGCCTGGATTAGGTTGTTGTAATTTCCCATTGAATTGAATAATAGGGCATGGTAATACTAAGAGACACCCTAAGGGATCTCCTGCATGCCAAATATATTCTTCCTTTCCTCCACTGTGGAGCAGTAGTC